TTTTGTTCAAATTGCAAATTTCAAATGGATCCATCTGGGCTCTGTATAAGGTTGCTTCTGCTGGTCCTAGTTTTCTACTCTTTCAAGCCTCTTAGAATGAAGAGATATGTTTCTTAAATTTAGAGTGTTTAATAACATATGAGCCTCAGTGGTAGATGCAGAGTTGTATTGTAGACCTAGAGGTCTGAAAGTAATGCAGTTATCTAGAGGTCGACAGTAGCTTATTATGACAAAAACCAAAATGAACCTATAATGGTGCTTTTCCAAAACAATGTTATGAGTTTTCTAAAGCAATTTTTTAAAATTAATCCAAAAGCTGAGAGTTTTTTGAATAAGCATGTTCACTGACCTGCAGTATTTATATGAAATACTGACAATTAAGTAGCAAATGAATATTATAAAAGAAAATCAGCTAAGCAGATTTGGCAAACTAGCTCACTTTGTGAAATAGTGCTTACATTCAAATATGCTTGAATAAATAAAATCATTAATTGCATAACCAGCCTAGACTTTGATTTCTGGCTCTGAAAGGAGTGCACTGGTTCATGATTTGTGACCTCTTTTGCTTTTAGAATGGCTCTTTAAATTAGTGTCAATCTGAATGTATTCTTTTTTTATAATAATGGACTCAGTAAATCCAGAAGCAAAACTATTCCCTCTTTTATTCATGTTTCTTTGTTTTATCACATAGCTGTGTACTTTAGAATCCAAATTTGCATCACAATAATTCAGAGGACAACATTTGGTTCAGAGCTATTTCCTTCAAAGTAATTTTCTTAAATAACAGTGGAATTTTAAATATTTGCATGTTTTTCTAGGATGTTTTTTCCAGGGCAGCTAGAAACAGACTAGAGAATCTGGCACATGACTGGTACAGAATTCTTATCCAAAAGGCAAACAAAGTGCAAAAAACTGTATAAAACCTATGAATGTGTTATGATTACTTTCAACTACCTTTAACAAGTATTGTCTATAGGGGCAGGGAAGGAAGGTAATGTAGTTTTCCTGAGAATTAATGGGTAGACACCCCCTCCCAACACTGATTTGTTTAAAGTATTAAAGAATGAAGGTGTGCGTGTGGGGCAGGGGGGCACTGCGATGTGGGGCCAGGTGTGCAAGGCAGCAGCTTGCTTGCTCAGAGATCGTTTTCTCCGAGTGAGTCCAAAACAATCTCCATGCCAGCAAGCTGCTGCCTCCCGTGTGCATGGCAAGGTGGTGGCAGGCACGTGCAGGGCAAGGTGAGTGGTGGCGACGGTGGACACAGGTGCATGCGTGGTGATTCCAAAACCAATGAGGCAAGCCGGATAAATCAGCATGGTGGGCCGGATCTGGCTCGCGGATTTGGGTTTGAGGACCCATGATATAAAGAATACAGAAGTATAAGAATACAAGTCCATCAATCATCAGCAACAATATCAAGAGGCCTCATTCACACTTGCATTCATGCAACACTCATACTCACAGCTGATAGACTCTCTCGGTGATCCATTGGGACTGTGGGTGACCAATTGCAGTGCTGTTCTGGCACACACGGGAGCTGGAAAGCCTAGGCATTTTATTCCTTAAAGTTGACACTATCAGTTTAGTTCAACTCCTCTGAGCAGAGTTGACACAGAACGTGCTGGTTTTTGTCACATTCCATTCTCTCCCTGGATGGTACAGGGTGGGCTTATCTTATCTTGTTATGTTTCTTTCTCCAACCACTCCTGGGCTCTCCGTTTTGCTGCAAAAAATACTCAGTCCTGGTCAGTCCCATAAAGCTTTTTGATTCTCCATTTTCTTCTGGGTCTTAAGGCCTTCAGGAACCCATGCACATTGTAACATCTTGCATTGGAAGATTTCAGAGGCTTGTGAACATTTCACTTCATAAAATGTTGTGAGTTGTTGGCATATATTACTGTCCAACCAGTCAAAAAGAGGACAAGGATGTAACCTTCGAAAAGCAACTTGCAAGCATTTCCAAGAAGAATGATGTAGTCATCATGGGGGACTTCCATTTCCCCAACATATGCTGGGAGACAAATTCTGCCAAGCATGGCCCCTCCAAGAGAATCCTGACATGTGTTGCCAACAACTTTCTCCAGCAGAAAGTAGAGAAACATACGAGAGGATCAGCTACCCCAATTTAATACTAACTAACAGGGATGGCCTGGTGGACAAAATAACAACCATGGGAACTCTAGGGGAAAGTGACCATGTAATTCTCAATTATGAAGGAGACAAAGGGTAACTGGAGCCAAACAACCTGGACTTCAAGAAATCCAACTTTAAAGAACTCAGAAAGAGGATAAGCGAAGTGCCATTGCAACACACCCTTAAGGGGAAAGGTGTGCAAGAGGGATGGGAAATCTTGAAAAAGAAGATTCCCAAAGCACAAGTATGAACAATTCTATCAAGAAAAAAGTGTAGAATACAACAGAGAAAGTCCATGTGGATCCACAAAAGGTTAAGTGACAGCCTGAAAGAAAAAAAGAACATGTGGAAACAGGGCCAGGGCGCAAAGGAAGAATATAAACAAATAGCAAGTTAGTGCAGGAATAGCATCAGGAAGGCTAAAGCAAAAATGAACTAAGAATAGCAAGGGATGTTAAGCACAACAAGAAAGCCTTCATCAGATACATCCAGAACAAAAGACATGAGAAAGAGAAGGGTGTCCAGGTACTTAAAGTGGATGGCAGAGTGATAATAAATGACAAGGAAAAGGCAGAGGCACTCAACTCCTACTTCAGTCCTCTCCCACAAGGAAATCTGCAATCAAGAGGAAGTTCAAGCTGGAAGTGAGAGATGGAAGTCCAAGATTTACAGACAAATGCTCAAGGAATTGTCATTATTCCAAAGCACAAGCCAATTTACTCCACACTAGTCAGGCCTCATCTGGAATACTGTGTCCAGTTCTGGGCACCAAGATTGAAGAAAGATGCAGGAAAATCAGAAAGGGTCCAAAAGGGGTTTGGAAACACTGCCCTAAGAGGAGAGACGGAGAGAACTGGGCATGTTCAGCCTTGAGAAGAGAAGACTGAGGAGGGACATGATATTCCTCTATAAGTACCTCAAAGGCTGTCACAAAGAGGAAGATCAAGATCTCTTCTTGCTGTGCCAGTGTAGTACACAGAATAATCAATTGCAGTTGTGATAGCCCAGATTCAGGCTAGATATCAGGAAATGTTTCCTCACTGTCTGAGCAATACAACAGTGGAACCAGCTGCCTAGAGAGGTGGTGGGCTCTCCCACACTAGAGACATTCAAAAAGAAACTAGACAGCCATCTGAGTGGGATGGTGTGACTTGGTGTCCTAAAACAGCTGGTGTTTGAACCCAATGGCCTTCATGGCCCCTTCCACCAATGCTATTCTATGATTGTATGAAAAAAGGCATTAATCTGTACAAGAACAAATCCTCCAATCAGTCAAATGCTCTGCTGCTTCTTTTCTGAACTCCTCAGCTCCCACTAAACATGCTAAGCACAGTAAAATACCATTTATCCTCTGACAGTCTTCTGTCTGCACAGCTAGTCACAACATACTCCAACAATCCATTTTTCCATTCTTCAATTGGCAGCCTTTGTTCTTTACCAGTGCTTGGGCTTGGTCCAGATGTGAACCAATAAGCTGAAACTCAATCCAGATAAGATGGAGGTATTACTGTCCATCTGTCCAACTGGGGAATTTTCAACCCATCCTGGATGGGGTTGCACTGCCTGTGAAAGGCAAGGTTTACAGCCTTGGAGTGCTCCTGGACCCCAAGTTGTCATTTGTTGCTCAGGTGGACTTGGTAGCCTTCGGCTGGTATATCAGCTGTGTCCCTACCTGGATGAATGGAGCCTTGCCATGGTTATCCATGCACTGGTAACCTTGTACCCGCATTACTGCAGTGTGCTCTATGTGGGGCTGCCCTTGAAAACAATCCCGTCATTGCAACTTGTTCAAAATCAGGCAGCGCATCTGCTGACTAGGATGGGGTTTTGTGGACACATCCCCACAGTCCTACACAGGCTACATTGGCTGCTGGTTGCCATCCAGACCCAGTTCAAGGTGCTTACAATAACATATAAAGCCCTAACAGCTTGGGGTCAGGGAGCACTTTTCTCCATGCATGACAACCTGATCACTGAGTTCATTGGAAGCCCTTCTCTGTATTCCTCTCCACAGTGAAACAAGAGGGGAGATGGTGAAGAGAATGGCTTTCTGTGTAATAGCCTCCCAATTAGGAACTCAGTCTCATTTGAGGTTCAGCTGGCACCAATTCTTTATTCTTTCAGGCACCAGTTAAAAACTAATCTTTTCCATGATTATTTTGGTGAGTGAACCTGTTTTGGTTTAATATTTTTACAGGCTTTAATGGTTTATGTTGCGGCGGCTGCTGTACTTGGATTGTAATGCCAGAAAAATATTAGTATGAATAATTTGTATGTTATTAAGCCATCTTTAATATATATTAAATGTTTAGTTTTATACTTTTTCTTTTCCCTGTCTTTTTCATTTTACTGTTATCTGATTGGTTGATTTTATTTTGTGATGTTATGGTTGCATTGCATTGTTTTAATTGTTGTTACATGTTCTTTATTATGCTATGAGCTGCCCAGAGAGCCAATGGCTTATAGGCGGCCTACAAATCAAGTAAATAAATCATTAACAATTAATGTGGCTTCGTGTGATATCTAAGCCCAATTACTGTATGGAGTCAAGTTTTTCTTTTTCCTTTTTTCATGCAGTCTCAGATCTCTCCAAGTCAAAGTCCAACATGTTACACTGTCCTTCACCATTTCATTGTTCTCTCTTGAATGCTGGAGTCCAGCTAGATCTGGGAGGTTTCCTTCACTCATGGAGAACAAAATTTGCTGATGAGTAAAGAATGTGGGTTTTACGATTGTCAACTGTATGAAGGCATGAAGTTTCACAATGATATTTGAAGGTTGCCATTTCAATTCAGTCAATTCCTTTTACTGTGTTTCTCTATATTTTCTTTAATTCTCATGGAATTTTGGTGTCTATTTTTCTGCAGCCTTTGAAAATGCACTGTGCAAGCTGTGCTCTAGTAACAAGTTCTGGCCATCTTTTACGGAGCCAACAAGGCCACAAGATTGACCAGACAGAGTGTGTAATACGAATGAATGATGCACCCACACGGGGATTTGGAAAAGATGTTGGAAACAAGACAAGCTTGCGAGTTATTGCTCACTCAAGCATCCAGAGAATTTTGCGAAATCGCAGTGAACTGTTAAATATGAGCCAAGGGACAGTCTTTATCTTCTGGGGTCCCAGCATCTACATGAGGAGAGATGGGAAAGGATTAATTTATAATAATCTACAGCTCATTAATAAGATACTACCTCAGTTAAAAGTATACATGATATCCCGACATAAAATGCTTCAATTTGATGAACTCTTCAAACAAGAAACTGGGAAAGACAGGTAAGGACACAACTTCATGAGAATATATTTGAGATTCCTTTCAGTGTTACTAGAAGCATAGTTCCTCAATGGGATTGTCCCACAGAATTTTAGTTTTCAATAGTTTTCTTTAGTTTTATACTCACTTGTAATTTTATTTTGTATGTCAAATTATACTGCTAAGTGTTTTGCTATATATTGCAAATATGCAATCAAACAATGTATTTACACATCAGCTTTTAATACTTAAAGCAATCAGAATTGTAGAACAGCACAGCAAGAAACATATAAACATATAAACAGAGCAAGTCAGAAAGGGTCTCCCGGGCCATCTAGTCTGACCCCCAGCTGGCTGCACTCATGACATGCCCACCATGTGCATGTCTAGCCTATCCTTGAACACCCTCACCGATGGGGCCTCAGCTACCTCCTGTGGACGCCCATTCCATACCCTTGGGCTCCTAACTGTCAGGAAGTACTTCCTGGCGTCTAAATTCAACCTTGGTTCCTTGAGCTTGGCTGCACTGGAGCGTGTCCTGCCCTCCTCTGTGGTTCTTGCTGGTTACAAAATTTAAATTTCACTTAGGTAATACACTTTTTACTGCTTTTGAAAAATTAGAATTGATGAATTTTGCTTTACAGAACCAGTACTTGCCATTTTGTGAATTATAACGTTTACCTATTGACGATATGCTTGGAACATTGCAGCAGTAAAGCTTATTGTAAAATAAATGCACATTATTCATACATTTGGTGCTTCAAAAGTGTTCATCTTATACTTTCAACTGGGAAAAGTCAAGTTATTATGATACTTAAATCCTTTATGAGAGCATTTATAGTTTACAAACAGAACTTCAAATCATTTTTTTAAATAAATGATCCTCAGTGTGATAAGCATATTTGTACAGGCATTTTTAATGACACATACTGTTCCTGTATCATTGGATAAGCTGAGTATTGGGACTAGCTCTTTGGAAACACTACATAATGGCATAAGGAGCAGATATTCTACTTTCTGAGATAACTACAAAGCAAAATAAGCCTTCAGAAATGTGTTCAGTCCTTTCACTCTACTGTATGTGGTTTGTTTTCATTACATATCATATGCAAGGCTGGAATATTAGGCCTGGGTGGAGGCTTGCTGGGGGCAGCAGGGGACACAGTGGTCACATTTAACCGAATCTCTTTTAAGATGCTACCTGGGAAAATATGTGAATTAGGCCCAGCTTAGTTCAGCTTTTTCTTCTTGATCCTACTTGGGATTCAGTTATTGTTTTTCTTGTGGCAAGAGCATCTCCAGTTGCTCAATGTCACAAAAACTCTGTCAGGATCTTATTTCAGAGGCATGGTGTCTGGATTGTACCCAAGGCATCTATCCAATAGCATACTGAGAGTCAGCCCCATGAGTCATCCTGTGGAAAATGGAGTCTACCATACCTTATCAAGGGAGATGTGCAAGGCTGAAGCCAGACCATGCACTTTACTGTATGACAGTAATTTTTATTAGTGTGAAAGGCACGACTGTTTAAGTATGGCTCAGAAATGAACTTTTGGGCACCAGAAGATCTGTTTAGTTGATAGTGGGGTTAAAGAGGCATTTCTAGCTTCCTTCTTTCTATCCCCAACAGCCCTGTCCCAAGTCTCCTGCACCACAAAAGCAGTCTCCCTACCCCTCTTTGCTACTTTTCATCTACAAATGGTAGCAGGAGGAAAGAGCAGGGAAGAAGGGGGCTCTCCATCCTCCCTCCCCAATTATAATGAAAGGTACTGGTTCCAGATGTCTTCTGCCATGCATCAAAATTTGAAGAAAAGTGTTGCTGAGAGTTACTGTTTGCAAGGGCTATTGCTGTTGTCATGATGCACCATGGAGAAATCAGAAGTCAGGACACAATGATCAGTGGCCTGTGGATCTGTAGTTCAGCCTCCTTTCTCTTCATTTGCTGCTGCAGATACTTTCCCTGCTTCCAGGTCAATAAGATGAAAGTGCTTTTCGGTGGGAAAGAAAGGGACTGGGATTTGTGCAATGCCTAACACTAGAGCACAACATTTATATACTTAGGAACCCAGAATAGGAAGGATATAGTCAGGTTAGAATCAGTGCAGCGTAGGGCCACAAGGTTGGTGGCCAGTTTGCAGGGAAAGCCATAAGAGGCAAGACTGGGGGAACTGGGTCTTTTCAGCCTGGAGGAGACTCAGAGGGGATCTGTTGGTGACATACAGGTATGTGAGGGGGTGTCACACAGAGGTGGGTAGAGATCTTTTCTCCCCTGCAGAGGAGGACAGGACGCATTCCAACGGAGGGAAGCTGAGGGAACCGAGGTTCAATTTAGATGCCAGGAAGTACTTCCTGATAGTTAGGACCCCAAGGGTATGGAATGGGCTTCCACGGGAGGCTGTTGAGGCCCCATCGGTGAGGGTGCTCAATGATAGGGTAGACATGCACATGGTGGGCATGTCGTGAGCAGAGCTGGCTGGAGCCGGGGATCAGACTAGTTGGCCCAGAAGGCCCCTTCTGAGTTGCTCTGTTTCTATGTTTTGAAGTGCCCATTTTACACATCCAGTGGAGAAACTGATGCTTAAAGGTATGTCTTAACCCTAAAACACTGGTATAGACTTTTTTGTATGTTCAGCTTATTTCTTAAAACGGTCCTATTGAAATGAATTTACCTTTTAAACATGTAATATGTTTCATAGGACAACTAAACATTTTGTTGTAAATGTAGCAATACAAATTATACTTTCCATTATATTGAAAACAGACTTCTAGAAGTAATATGTGGTATTGGGTGAAGACAGATTTAGTTAACTTTCCAATAAAGAAAAATTAAAGGAAAATCATAGAATAGTAGAACTGGAAGGGGTCAGGAGGCCATTGGGTTCAACTTGCTCAGTGCATGACTCCAAGTTAAACCATCGCTCTCAGGTGGCTGTCCAGTCACATCTTAAATGCTTGTAGAATGGAACAGCCCCAACCACCCTAGGTAATTGGTTTCATTGTTGTACTGCTCTAACAGGATCCCCACCACCACCCCCGATATCTCATTTGAGCCCATTGTTCTGTGTCCTGCACTCTGGGATGATGGAGAAGAGATCCTCACTTTCTTCTTTGTGATGCCTTTCCAATACTTGTACATTGCTCTTGTATCTCCCCTCAGTCTTCTCTTCTTGAAGCCAAGTTCTTTCAATCTCTCCTTTCAGTTCTTTCAGTCTCTCCCCATAGATCTTTGTTTCCAGTTTCTGGAACATCCTTGTTGCCCTCCTCTGAATCCTTTCCAGCTTGTCTGCAATCTTTCTTAAACTGTGGTGGCCAGACCAGTACTACAGATGAGGTCTAGCCAGTGCTGAGAAAAGGGTAATTAGTACTTCATGGGATTTGGGACAGATACCTCTATTAATGCAGGCTAAAAGAGAATTTACCCTTTCTGCAGCCACATTTTTGACTCATATTCTACTTGGGATCTACAAAAATTCCAAGATTATTCTTGTTGCAGTATTGTTCAGCCAAGTGCCCCGCATCTTGGAACTATGCGTATGGTTTCTTTTTCCTAAATGCAGAACTTGGCATTTGTCTCTATTGAATTTCATGAGGAAATGAAGCAGTCCAATGGGGCAAAGCTCAAGAAACCAGTTTTCAGGTTGGATGTCAGGAAGTACTTCTTCATGGTTAGGGCCCCTAGGATATGGAATGGGATTCCATGAGAGGAAATGGAAGCTCCATCAGTGAGGATGTTCAAGGAAAGATTGGACATCCACAGGTTGGGTATTACATGAGCAGAACTAGTTGGAGCTGGGGGTCAGACTAGATGGCCCAGGAGACCCCTTCTGACTCACTATGTCTCCATGTTTCATTCTTTTGTTTTCAGTTCAGTGTTCCAACCTATCAAAATCACCTTAAATCGTCTTTCTGTCTTCCAAGGTATTAGCTATTCCACCCAGTCTTGTGTCATCTGCAACTTAAATAATCGTTCCCTGCACTTCCTCATCCAAGAAAATGTTGAAGAGTCTGATTCTGCAGCCAACTGTGCATCCACCTGATAACTTGTTCCATCTAGCCCACTTGTTGCTAGCTTGTTAGTCAGCGTATGATGGGGCACTATGTCAAAAGCTTTGCTTAAGTCCAGATAGATTGAGTCTACAGCATTTCCACAGTCCATCAGGAAGGTTACCCAACCAAAAATGAAATCAGATTAGTCTGACAGGATTTGTTCTTGAAAAATCAGTGTTGGCTTCTAGTAATCATTGCATTGTTTTTAAGACTGACTGCTTTATAATCTGCTCTAGAATTTTCCTGGGGATTGATGTCAATCAATCCACTGGTCTGTAGTTCCCAGCTCGTTCTTTTTTTTTTTCTTCTTCTTGAAGAAAGGGACAACATTAGCCCATCTCCAGTCATCTGGCATGTCCCCTGCCCTCCATGATTTCTGAAAGATAATAGACAGTGGTTCTGAGAGTTCTTCTACCAGCTGTTTTATGGATGATGGACTGCATTGGCCTTGGAGATTTGTACTCATGCAATCCAATTCAATGATCTTTGACCATTTGTCTATCAATCTTGAGCTGATATTCTGCTCCTTCAGCTTGTACTGGAAGGTCATAGATCTTCTTTTGGGAGAAGAATGAGTCAAAGTAGGAATCGAGGACTTCTACCTTTTTGGGGTGGGGTGGGGTGACATGTGGCCTGATTACTATCAGCAGCTATGTGGATGTGAAAATTCATTCTGGTTCCTGACTCTTAGCTGAGCAGGTCAGAGGAAGCTGCTCCACCTGGTGTAGGGTCTCTGGGACACAAGCAGCCAACCTCTCAGGAAGTGAGCCACCAGAGCAAGCAACCAGGAAGAGCAAACAGGAGTTTGGTAGTGGACTTCAATGTGGGAGGTTAAAAGAAATGTCCCAAACATTTTTTCTTTTTTTCTCTTACTACTTTTTCTCCCTTAGTTTCTTTCCTCCTCTGTTTTCTTCCTTGCAATACCCTCCCATTTACTGTGTTAATAATCTTCAGGGAAGACAGGGTAAAGCACTGC